GCTTAGCCTCCATTTTTTTTTTTTTTTTTTTAAGAATTTATAAACAGTTCGATTTATAATTGCATAGAAATGAATGGTGGATAAGTGGATAGCACTTGTGAGTCCATTGGAAATTGGAATGTACGATTGAAAATTAAGTTCGACCAATATATAAATGATTTATGAATTTGGCAAATGGAGGCTAAATAATGAATGAATAATTGAGTTTTATATTTCTAATATCGTAATTATTACCCGTGAATTGGTTAGATAATAAAACAATTCATTAAATCATATTTGGGGTACTGCTCTTAAAGTACTCTCAAACCAACAGGGTGAGAATCAAACTTCTTTTCTCCTCCGTCTTCAGTGCTAGATAGTTAATCTAATGGGAAAAAATTCAATTTGAAAGATTGAGAAGTTAACAATTCAGTCGTTAATATAGATTTCTGTGGGACATAGTTCAATTGAAGCAGCTCTAAGTTTATATTCTTCATGTTTTGAACTAGGAGCAGTCGACAGCCCCTATATCCTCCTGAAATATCATGCTATTATGTGTTCGAACTTGCAGGAAGAGCAAAGGATACAGTTACATTATTAGATCTACAAGTTTCAACGAGGACAAGTTCATATAATGGGTGTCAATAAAATTTAAGTTCTCCCTTCTTTTCTTTAATCAACGGCTGGTGCAAAAGCTTTCTGAAGCACTCTTTCCATATGTTCTACATAATCCTCAGGGTGCAGAAATCCAGCCAGATTAGACAGCGATCACTAAATCAGTTGGTAAAGAGGTGAAGGCGTGTAAATGGTGAATAAGCTTCTATGTGAAATGACTTCACTGGATGAGAAATCTATTTTTGTCAGTTGTTTTTTGAACAGAACAATGTTAGGTTGATGAATTGAATCGTAAATGGACGAGATTTTCAGTAAATTTAGATTTAAAATTAAAGCAATTTCAAGAAAATAACTAGAATTATCACTGAAAATAGAAGTATATTCATATCAACATCAACGAACTATTATTTTCCAATGAAGAAGTACTTCCGCATCCACAAAGAGAAACCATCATCAAGAGTTACAAACTCAACAAGCACATAACTAGTGGAGATGGAAAATAGAGGGTAAACATTTGGTCGGTTTGTAGTGTGTGTGAGGATGGTGGGGTGGTGGAGGAGTAATACAATGAAGTATGCATGATGACAGAAAACCTGCAAGCAAAAGCTCAAGCTAAAGATTTGTACCTTCAAGCCTTGACTGCCTTGAGGGAGATAACTATCACGTTTGACCCATGCAAAACAGTCCAAATGGCAAGCAAATTTGGCACGACATTCTCCTTGATTCTTGTCACATTGAAATCCAAGTTCCTGCCATTCAAAAGCAATAAACGAACAGAAATCAAAGGAAAAAAAATACCAAATACGTCCGGCATGGATGTCATTCAGATACAAGCAATTGCAACTGCAAGTGCAATCCAAATTCAAGCAACTTTAATTTACAGCCTAAATTTTTCAGGGAGACTCGAGACTCTAGACAAATTGGAAAAATGGGGTGTAATATTAGCAAGTAATTATGGAAGTGAATTAAGGTCATGCAATTGCAACCTCCAAAAGTTCCATAGGATAAAAGCTTGAAACTCTTAATAATTTACTGATTAAATGTAAAGAAAGAAATTCAAGATCTCAAGAACCGCCATTAACTATCTGATGAAGAGAAAGAAACACATGCAAATAATTGTAGCAATTGATTATCAGTTATTAATGAAGCAGAGACTTGCATCAGCGGAGAATATTAATAAAATGCAACTTCACAGATTGTGTGTGTTCATAATGACGGAGCCACAGAATTGAAGCACTGAAAATTGGACAGGAATGACACAGGATTTATTTATGTGAGTCATCAAAACAAGTGATAGTGAACTTAATACAGCTAGCAATGGTAAGTTACATACATCGTTCATTCTGAGACCATGATGAGCTGCTCTGTTTTCTAGAAATGGCCAGTCGAAAAAGTCACCGTTGTATGTGACATAGATACCAGGCTTTACCTCTTGCATATGGGAAAACCACAATCTAAGAAGCTCTTCCTGTTACAAAAATAAAAAAAGTAGAACAGTATAGATTTTATATTTTTCAGGAAAAAAATCAAAATCTATTAAATACAAACTATCATCACCTCATTTTTCACATTCGTAACTTTAAAACACCCTTCAAATTCTGGTTTTGGAGTGTACTCTAAATCCTCTATGTCTTCGCCAACGCACTGCCATGATTTAAAAATGCTCACAATTATACGTCAGGAGAAATTGATAGGATATTCATATTACAACTTCAGAGGAATCATTAAATGGTTATTAAATAAAAGGATTCTACTAACAAATTATAAAATGTGCTAGCGCCATGATAAATCATCAGTTCTGAGTAAGCTCTCTAATGAAATGAATTAACTCTAAAAATCAAAATCAACACCTAAAGAATTTGCAATCATCAAAAACAAGTTTTTGATCATTAAGGAAAAAAATTCAGGAGACAGAACAATACGATCCTATTGAGTTTAGATTATTTCAGCTGATTTAATCAGAAAATAATAGAAATCACCTCTAAAATCAAAGAATGATGCTCAATTAGTACGCTTAAACCTGATTTTTATAGAGTTCAAGAATAATCCATTGGCTAAATGAATTGGCCTAATGCACTCCAGAAAAAAGCAGACCTTTGTTTCGGAAGTAAGAAAATATCAAAAAATTCCAAGAAGAGAATCGCATTGAAATGAACTAATACCAGAAATAATTATGCACAAAATTTCATATTTAATGCTTGTAAATAAACAAAGATAGAAAATTAACTATGTTCTCAATACCTCTCTATTAATGATGAGATACCCTTGACCATCTACCATGTATGATATCATCATTACTGAATCATATTCAGCATCTGGAAATTTTAAAGGAAGCTTTGTGGTCTCAATATCAAAGGCACAAACATGAACTTCAGCTCGTTGCAACAGATCTGTTCTTCTATCTAGCGTAACCCCAGCACTGGATACACTGACATCATACCACTGCCCACATCTTAAATCTGAAGTTGTTGAATTTCAGAAATGGGAGATAAAATAAATTATTAGTCTAGGACTTTGGGTACAGAATAATCAAAGAAAAGTCTAAACCAATGTATTGGCATAGAACTCACCATTGTCGATGGCAAACCGAACATGGTAAGGTACATCATACTCACGAAGATCGTTAATACAGTCTAGAAAGTCTTGAGGTCGTTGCTTTCTGCAAGCCCAAAATATTGGTATAGCATGAATGTAAGATAAATGGTCAAGAATGTTGATCGAAAAAGGAAATGGAGAACATGTTAAAGTATGAACTATTAATGAAGACAAAAGGTAAAAAGCCAGACCTTTTTTCAGTCAATATGGATTCATATGCTTCTTCAGCGTCAAACTTTGCTAGATTTCTTTCAACGATGTGAATCAGATCATTCTTCACGTGCATCAATTGTTGAACAGTATCAAAAGATATCTTTAAATAAGACTTTCGTAAGCCGCATAGGTGATTTTTCTGTGATAAATGCATATGCGCTTAGCATTGAGTATTTTTCTAGGAAATCGTATAATGGTGGCTAGACCAAATTGAGGGCAAACAAATGCGGTCATAAATAAGCAGATTTAAAAATCGAAGAGTTATAACTATCCTATTCATTTGACAATACTATAGACATAAGAACCAAAATGAAAGGGATGAAAAGAAAAGATGAGAATATAACTTTCAATTTCTAAAATCATGCTAAGCCCCTGTTTGAGCCACATTGTTGTAAAAATGATAATGAAAAATATAGCCGTTATGGCCCCACACAAGAGATAAAAAGTCAAATATAGTTGCTTGATGTGATGGATAACGGTCATATTTTTCATTTTAATGAGGAAATAATGGGGATCAAACAGGGCCTAATTGGTTCTCTTTTTAAGTAAAACAAATATTGCTGGTATATGACTGAGTATTATAATTAAGCAGATTGGTTACACGAGTAGAACCTGACTTATGCCAGACCCTATAATATTAGCCTCAGATCACAAAATCAGTGCTGAACTTTCTTATGCTAAATTGTGACTCAAACTGAACCTGACCAAGTTGTGATTGTAATATTGGTCCGAATATTTAAAATAACCTAAATACTCAGAGACTTTTAGTTATACTTCAGTACAACGATCAGCAACTCCTCATGATTCTATGATATGATCCAGAAACACGTATTGCTACTTTCAAGTGGAATAACCATATCCCATTCGACCTGTCTTTCATGGACATCGTTTATGTTTCCACAATTGACTTCAAGTGGAGAGGAACTATACCAGAGACCATGATGTTTCCATGGGTGCAAGGTTCCTCTAATGGTGCTGTAAGAATATTTATGAAAGAGAGATAGTAGCTTATGACACACAAAAAAAAAAAAATTTGAGTGTGGACAGAGTCATGTAGGCAATTATGAAGAGCCATCTTTGATCTCTTGCTTTATATCCACGGCCAAATATTTATCTGTTACCCACAACAGATGAAATTACTATTATCGTTCAAAGAGTTTAGTTTTATTACAAGTGAATTAGAAGTTATATTTGAATGAAAACTTTCAATTATACACTTCAATTAGCAACAATAAACCACCTCACTGTGAAGCTCAATTTTAATAAGCAGCAAGTTAAGTATAAGTAGCATTTCAGGTGAACACTTGGAGCATAACATATTATCAGCAACCAAAATTCAATACTTAACAGCTAAGATATGATACTTCTAGGAAAATTAAAAACTATAAAAATGTGATGCTCAAAGTTGGCGTTGCATTACAAGATCAAGATCCTCTTTTTCAACAATTTCAATGTCCGCAATTTGTCCTTCATATCGCCTTCTCAAATAAGCCTCAACGTCAATTTCCATTTTATCCTATAACAACAATAAACAAAGCCCCTTTAACTGTTCCAGAAAATCCATCCCTCTCACACGTATAAATTTCTTTATGAACCTCAATTAATTATTCACTTACCTTGGTGGCTGCATAAAAATATGGCCGGAACTTATATTTGGTCTTAAATGTCGAACCATCCTTCAATTAAATCATTAAACAAAATAAACATCAAAACTTCTTTCAGGTCAAAGTATGCTACATTAATTATCAATAATAAAAACTGAATCTTTAATCTTGTTTTACCTGACATACGAAATAAAGATCAACACAGCTGTACATTTTACGCGTCTCCTGATCCTCCCAAGATGACTATATACAAAACCACGTCAAAAAATCAAAATAGCTGGAATTCGAGCAAATTGAGTGAAAATAAGAGGCGAATTGAGGAAATGAAAGCAGATACTTACAGAAGCTAAAGTGAGTAGCCACCCGAGGCGTTTATCTCCTTCATTGAAGAGATCGTAGCCGAGCCTCGACTCGAGCTGCTCCCCTGAGTTCAGAATCAGCTTCTGCTTCTTTGAAATCCGAGTATCCCTCCGATCTCTCCTCCAATTATCAGCGCCGCTCATCTTGTCACGTTAGATTTGGATGATTACAGAGATGAATCGAGTGAAGAAATGTGAAAAATATACACAAATGTTGAGATAGCGTTCGTATATCTGTGTTTAGTCGGAGAGGGAGAGGGAAACAGAGAAGGGTTTTCGGGTTACGAGAGACTGAAGAGAGGGGGATTGAGAAATTTTCCCGCGCTTTGTTAAGAGTGTCGCGAAATTTTCATTGGAGGTCACCCGACTTATTAGTTTAGTTCGTGTTGGTCATCAAGCTTTGATTTATTTTGATTTAAATGCTCAACTTATATTTTTATTTCAATTTGATCATTATGTATGTAACCGTAACCAAAACTAACGGCTAATTGCACGTGGACGTGGAATTCTCAATGAATAACAAGGAGTGGTTTAAATATTCAAATAAACAGTTTTGACAAGGAAAAAAATAAATAAATATAAATATATATCGTAACTTTCCTTTTTGTGAAATGCAACAATTTTGCAGAACTCATGAATTTTATCGAAAGTATTTCCTTAAACATTTGAATGACGAAATTGGATTAAACTATGTCAACTTGAGGGGCGGGTATAAATTTTATTTTAACAAGCAGTTGGTCATGAAATTTATTCGATATAAAGTTTTATACATTACTTTGATGTTAAATCAATGCAAAAAAATTTCATTGGTATGCATCATAAGATAGTGACTTGTTTGAGAAAATATATATTGAAATTCGAATACTTAATGAAAATTCATCTTAAAATATTTAACCCCTACATGTATTGACCATTTTAGAAGTCCTCGACCTCTCCCTTGAACCACTTAATTCTCTTGCTTCCAAGGTATTTGCTATAATATAAAATATAAAGTAAAAAATTTATGCTTTAGCTCTCAACATATGCGAGTTGTAACAAACTGGATTAGGGTTGGGTAGGTAAATGATAAAAGTGTTTCGAAAATTTTAACAGCAATCAAGTTTCGAGATCATGAAATTATAACTAATGATACTGATTTAACAACACTTTAAGCGTACATTTAATGAGTGCCATGCTGAGTTGGTCATTACTTTCAAGTGATCATAATGGTAATGTTATTTGATTTCAGTAATTAAATGAGTGAAGCCATAGTTTAAGGACTTAGATAGAATATCCCACAAACTTCGATTAGCGCTTGTGCAATTGATTCATGGATAAACAGAATATAATAATGAGCACGTAATGATGAGATATCCGGATGTGAGCATAAAAGTTATTCAATCATACCACATGTATACACTTTACATTATATTTTACGTTATATCACGTGGCAACACATTATTGGACAGTTTTAAAAAATAAACAATATCATCAACCACTTGACATCCATTCGATGAATATGTTATGGTTATTTCATATCCCTTTTTTTATTCTTATGATTTTGCTTACTACCTACTATTATAACATTATAAAATGCATTGTAACTCTCTGAAAAATTCAATTTTCAGCACTCCCTGTCCAATTTCTATGTTTGCCATATATATATAAACTATAAGCACTCTAACTACTTTTTATCAAGTAAGTATATCGAGTGATCAACAAGTTATAATTTATGCCATTTGTAAACACTTTCCCTCCCAATTTTGGAGTACTTCTATTTATAAATTTGTATCCTATATAAAAAGGTTGAACCCCTACTTTTAGTGCCCACCGCTTCTCCCTTAGAGCTTTGTGAGGGACTTAAATCGTGGGATGTACCCCAACAGGCTAGGGAATAAGAGCTGTATGTACACTGCGCCTACAAGAAGTCAAATTTCATACTTCAGGAATCGAACTCTCACACTGCGACTGTCAGTAAGGCATGAAATAATTTCACTCCTATCCTTTGCACCACTGGACTATGCCCCAGGAGGCAATTCTTATCCCATATAAACTACGCATTATATTGTATAAATAAAAGAACTAATATAAAGATTCTTTATACATTAAAATACAGAGATAATTTGTTTTTAGGGACAGGAAATTAAATAATTACAGGATGATTCGGAACTCATTTGAACGAGTTAAAAAAATACAATTATCGAGAGCGTTTCCTTGTTTGTTTTGGATTAAAATCTATGAGCTTGTTTGTTTGGGGTTATAATCCAATTGAAATTAATTTTTTTGACAGTTATTTTGCCATTTCAAACGTCATTTTTTGAATTCTTCTCTTTCAGGTAGGACTCACTTTATCTCTAACTGTCAAAAAATCAATTATTAAAGTCCATACCAAACAAGCACTATACTACATTTGGTTCCCATTAAATTTCCTTTTTTTCTCTCCTATTTTTAACCACATAATTTTTCATAAAATAATATTACACGTAAATAAAAAAATTTCTTAATTTTTCAACCACTCATTTAAAAAAAAATACTATTCAACCCATTTTCATTTAAAAAAATGGGAGCGAAACGGGAGCTAATAAAAATTTGGAAAATTCTACTTGTACATAATTATTGCACATAATGGTGTCCATAATGTGATGTGACAATCATCCGATTATTGACGTGCAAGTATGAAATTTGAATTAAAGGTTGGATCAAGTGCCACATGTAATTATGTACATAATTATATAGACTATTATTTACATATAGCACTTCCCTTAAAATTTTAATTCGGAGTCCACCCAGAACTTCCCAACCACACAACTTTTCCACTGTTCCCAATACAAGATTGTTTGTGGCCTGGTTAGGGTTGCTTTTGCCTCAATCATAATTGCGGTTTCTAATTAGACTATCTTCAAAAAGCACCGTCCGATTTTTATCATGTGGATGCGCGCGCGCGCGCGCACACGCATTCTCTCTCGTTTACCCAAAAAACACGTTTATGTATAAGGCAGCTGATTCTGTCTATAAACAAATTCGTATCGGCACTGGAATCAATTTGGTAATTGGAATTTGAATTTATGATATTTTATTTTCTATGCATTTTTTCTATTATGTGATATGAATTGGAGAAGATCCTGAAAAAGGTGCGATGAAGGAAATTACTTGTCACTGATAAATCAAACATATCCAAGGAAGTGAAACCCTAGGAGCGCTGGATTTATTTTGGGTAAATTTGGATGGTGAAAATTGGAGACTACTGTGGTTGGTTCGGAGAGGCGTAGGGGAAGAAAAAGGAAGATAAGAGATGTAGAGGATGTAACAGTGAATCTCGATGGTAAGAAGAAGATTGTGGAGACTAGGTCGAAAAAAATAGTTGGCAGCTATGTAATGAAAGAATTTGAGGGCAGTGGGGTGTTTTGGGAAAAGTTGCGTCTTATGATTCTGGTTTGTACAGGATAGAGGAAAAAGAAGTTGGATGAGCTATTGTTAAGAAAAGATTTAATGGCAGGGAATCCTAAATTTGAAACTGCACTCAAGCCAGCAAATGCTACTATTGATAATAATATTGAAGCATTGCTGAAGAGGGAGCCAACAATCGGTGGGTTTGGTGCTATTAAAGTGGAGGTCCTAGCAAAAGCTGTTATTCAGGCAGATGGTGATTCATCAAGTGATGCTCAGGAGCAGGATGCTAGTCTGGAGGAGAAAGCATTGATGTCCCAGAGAAGTATGTTTCATGGATGAAGAGTTAGGCGGTCTAGCAGTGAGGAAATGGTGACAGATAGGCAAAAAAAAAACATACAATTTTCCAAAATGACCGTTGACCACTGTTTAAAAAAAATCAAAAATTTGTAAAAACTTTAAAAACAATGAAAACCCAAAACTGCCCCTGATATTATAACTCTGAAACCGACGACAGGAGAGAAAGAAAGGAAGGAAAAGAAGGAAACCGACGAGTTTTTTTGGGAGGAGGCCGACTGGGCACCATTATAAGCGAAGAAAGTAAGTTTTGCATAATTTTTCCCCCATTAATCTATGTTAAAGATTTATTTTGTTGAAAATAGTGGTAGAAATCTTTGTAAAATATGTAAAAATAGTAAAAACTAACATTTTTTAAGGTTTAGGTGCTGGAGACGGCTATGCCGTCTGTTAATAGACGGCACAGACGTCGTCTGTTAACAGACAGCCCGTCTGTTTTTACTGTTTTTTTTATATCTTTAAATAATTATTTAATTATTATTTAAATGATAAATAATTATTTAAATGATAAAAGAAAAATATAAATAATGAATAAATTTTAATAATCAAAATACACAAGTAAAATTTAATTAAAGATTAATTGAAAGAAATTTAACCTTTTAAATAAATAATTAAATATTTACGTCTACTAGTTCAATAAATAATTTAAATAATTAAATTAAATAATTTAAATGAACAATTGAAATGAAAAACCATTGGAATAAATAATTAATTTCTCACAAAAATAAATAATGGACATGTAAATAATAATTAAATGATTATTTAAATGATAAATAAATATATTTTATTAATCAAAATACCAATTAAAATTTAATTAATACAAATTTCTAACATTTGAATTAAATAATTACATTTGCTTGTTCAATAAATAATTTAAATAATCTTTCCATATAAGTAATTAAATCAAATAATTTAAATTAACAATTGAAACAAATAATAAAAAACAATTGGGATAAATAATTAATTGAAATGCTCAAAAATAAATAATGAACATTTAAATAATAATTACATGATTATTTAAATGATAAATGAATAAATGTTAATATTGAAAATATTAATTAAAGTTTAATTGAAATAAATTTCTAACATTTAAAATGATATTATTAAATATTTACCTTTGCTTGTTCAATAAATAATTTAAATAATCGATTCATATAAGTAATTAAATCAAATAATCTAAATAAACAAGTGAAACAAAAAATGAAAAACAATTGGAATAAATAATTAATTGAAACACTCAAAAATAAATAATGAACATTTAAATAATAAATAAATGATTATTTAAATGATAAATGAATAAATGTTAATAATCAAAATATTAATTAATGTTTAATTGAAATAAATTTCTAACATTTGAAATAATTAATGAAATATTTGAAATAATTAATGAAATATTTGCGTTTGTTCTTTTTCAATGAATAATGTAAATAATCGATCATTATAAGTAATTAAATCAAATAATTTAAATGAACAATTGAAACAATTAAATAAAAAATAATTGGATAAAAATAATCAAAGTAAGTAATTAAAATGTCGATAAACAATTGAAATAAATATCTAA